CTGTTCTTGGCCTGCCTGCTGGTGGCATGACACCGCAGAGCACAGCTTTCCATTTGTGTGGTACAACAGTATCCTATTCTCTAGGCCAGCTATTTTCAGGAGGGAAAAACCTTGTGATTGAGTTACAGAATCATCTCTAACTAGGCAGTGGGTATTTTCAACTCCATCAAGTAAGAGTGGGCTACATCTTTAAATGCCTGGCTTTGATTTCTTAGATGTTTGGATTTTAGCCCTTCCAGATCACCTTTGTGTAGTGTTTCTGTTTATGAAATAGCCAGTCCATTTGGACTCCTAGATTTTGGTCACCTCATCTCTGATGGCAGTAATTTCCTCAGGCAAATTTTGTGCTGCTTTGCAGTAATATTTTGAGGATTAGCACATTCCTTAGAACAAACCACAATTCCTGGAAGAAACAGGTAATAACTACATATTTCAGTATATACTTCATTACTGAAAAACAGTCACTGAACCAGCACAGAATTTCATTCCCCTTTTCTGAGTATTTGCACTTTTTTATCAAATCACTTATTTTCCTCTCTTTAATCCTAGCCTTTTTAGTTCTTTCTAGAGTTCTTTGGGAACAATGCACTGGAGGGAGGCCATTGTTCTTCATGCAGAACTTGTTCTTTGGGTTTTTCCCCTGTCTGTCTGCAGGATGCAAAATTCCTTACCCTTCTGTAATCCAAAATCTTCTTACTGGGGCTGGATAAATCATCTTGACATGTAGTTGAGCAGCTGAGATGTCATCTCCGAAGCTTGACTGTCTTTTCAAGATAACCTTTAAATGTATTGAAGCCATTCTTCAGTTTTTCAGAGCCCAACTTCACACATTAATGTAGTACATCTTCTATGACAGAAAAGATTAGAATCACTTTCATAGAATCATTTTCTGCTTTTACTTTTCTCTTAGCATTAATAACAATTTCTACATTTAGAAAATAGAATAGTGACAGGACAAGCAACATGTCAGCCTTGTTCACACCTAATTCTGCCCTCAGAGTTTACCCCAGGTGGATCAATACATGTCCGTGCAGTTACTTTTATTTTTATATAAATCCTAAAAGACAAATCTCATCCTAGACCTTAAGTCAGGCAAAAATCTCATTGAAGCCAGTGGGAGTTTTGCTCTACCTGACTAATAAAGTATTTGAGAAGGAACGTAATGCTTGCGAATTGGAGAGACTAATTTTGTAGGCTTCAGGTTCATCGTGCTGGAAGGTAATGTCTGGCAGTTGGGTCATGATCTTCCAGCAGCCATTGCAGCTCTTCCAAACCTTCCAAAACCTTAAATTTTGTGTAAAAATGTGTTGTTCACATTATGCATCCACACTGTCCACACATTAAAAAAAAAATAAAATAAAAAGGAAAAATAATAACTTTTAGGGTGGAAGGCAAAAGATTAACTTTGAACTTTGTATCTCTGGGACTCAGTGGATCACTTCTCTGGAAGAGAACTACAGACCTGTGGGGTAGCACATAAAAAACTACTCTGATATTGACTACCATTTTTTTTAGGCCCCTAATTCAAGTTTAAAGCCTTATTCTTCTGAGTTGCCGAGCATCCACATCTGGAATGTCCATGTGAACACTGTGTTCAAGGTGTCTCCAGTCAGATACTTTATTTTAGAAAATATGGATAATAGAATCCAAAGCATATATCATGGCCCGTAGGTCTTTTTAAGCTCAATTTTTGAGGACCAAAGAATAAAAGTGATGATACACTTTCATATGCAGCCTTGAATAATCTTTGTAAGTAATAGAAACAGCATTACCCCATTGGGGCTGCTTTCAGATGAGAAATGACATGTGAAGTTATTTTAAAAGAACGCTATGTAGGTTAATTACTGAAAGATATTTATGCAGCTTCTAAAATGGCAGATTTATGCTCTATTACAACTAAAAGGCTGCCATAGGAGTTCACTGCTTCTCCTCAACTCTGTCTGACCAGGGCTGATTCCAAGATTGGACTGTGCTACTGTAAGGAGGAAGAAAAATTTATAAAATCAGAGAAAGAAATGCTGACTCACTTTTCTTCAATTAAGACTTCACAAGAAAAGTTTATTTTTAGCCTTTGCAAATTCCCCGGTGTCTGTTCTTCTGTGAGTATTTATACTTCTTTATTTTAATAGAGTATTTATATTTCTTTATTTTAATAACTCCCCTCAAGGCCAATATGAGCTAAGCATGTAAATCCCCAGAGAACTGATGAAAAAGGCAATCCCATTCACTTAAATGTAAAAATAAACCATTTGGCATGCAGAAAAGAATCTCATAAATTATTTTTTTTTACTCTGTCATCTAGTACTTTCTTGGCCAGATTGAAGGCATACACAGCTTCCTGTATGCGTTTTTTTGCTTTGAAGTGTTGGTGAATAAATTCATTAAATTAGAACAAAAAAATCTGCTAATTTGTTGCTTGTCTTCTGTTTCAATGGATTATCTAAAAGGCTGAAAGTATTTCTGTATTTGTTGCAGTCCTGTTTGCAGTTTATTGCAAGGGAAGTAAGCTTAATCAGATTTTTAAGCTGAGTTTTCCTTCCAACAAAATCTCCAGGTCACAGCTTTTCCAATTGCATGCAGAAGAAGGCAAGGAGACAAAGATAGTCTGGGGATCTTTCTCTTTCAGCAGCAAAGTTTGCATTTCTTTTAATGTAGTTAAAATGTTTGACAGGAGAGAGTAGGGTTTAGTGATGTGAGGTGATTTCCAAATGAGTGTTAGCTTTTTACTGACCTACTTTTTACTAGTGGTGTATTCTTGTCCATTACTTTTTGTCATTGAATAATGCCGATATATTAAGCTGTGTGCTTCAAGGGCATTGTAAAATTGCATGTAGGGGCAGGATTGAACTGTGAAAGTGCGAATTACTCCATCAGATCAAACCCAATTAAAAAGTGACAAGCACAGCAGGAGAAATTGAAAGCAAGGTTTATCTTTCATGTAACATAAGAAGTCACTATATCGGTTAGAAACAAAGTGAGTGTGAAACAGATTCTCCACCTCTTCTCATCCCTCTCCAAAAACTAATAATATCTGCTGGCTTTTATTATTGAAAAGAATAAGCCCCCGAGTTGTAATGGCTCATGTTGAAGGACACTGTGACAATGGCAAGAGAAGGGGAAGTACGGCACCTGTGCACCTTGAAGCTATTTGCTGTCAAAGCATGCACTGGGTCTTGGGTCAGCGCATTTGGGGATTGATGGATAGGGAGTTTGGAAAAAGTGGTGGTCATTAAAGTCTGTCATTAAAGGAAGACGTGCAGTTTTGCAGACTCTCTGCAGTTCCACAGGAAGTGTAGGAATAAGAGCATGGTAAGGAAACTGAACTTCTAAGGCCTGTAGTTGTTACAGAACTGCTACAAGCTAGGGAAAGTAGTCTCCAGTGCCATTGCAGAAATCCTTATAGAACCTTTTGCGTAACATCTATCAGCATTCTTCTAATTGTCAGTTGGATCTGTGAATATATAAGCTAATGCAGTTGTCTGTGTACAATATAATATTGCAGAATCCTGCTTCTGGAGTACTGGGGTTGTGGTGACTTTGGGTTTTTTGTTTGTTTCAGGTTTGGGGGGATTTCTTGATATTTTGTTTGCTAATCCAGTAAACTCATAAAATAAACACAACAGCAAAACAACCAAAAAGTAAATCAGCTTGGCAAAATACTTGCTATTGGGAGGCGGAGCTGCTTCAGTGATGTGTGACTGCTGCAAGACAAGGTGAACACCACCTTCGGCAGATAGTCAATATTACATTGACCCTCATACCTGCTGCTAATGGTATGACCTCAGTGAACTCCTCTGTGTGTGTGTGTGTGTGTGAACTAAACTTTAGCACAGATGATTTGATTAATTGCTGAGTTTTCAGGTTCAGCTTTAGTGTGTGTGACATTCTACTTTTTCAACAAAAAAAGCCCCAATAAACAAACACAAAAGGGAAAAGTGAGAAAAATGTGAAGCACTTGATACGTGTAAGCTTTACTCAATGGCATTGTATTGTGGGGAAGATAGGGGAGATGAGGGTGTAAATTCACAGGGTACCTGATCCACGTCACAAGTTTCGCCCATAAAACCAGTGATGCTCTGTCGGATACATTTTCGTATAAAATATATATTTAATTGATGTACAATGATTTAAGACTTTAAAAGAGAACGTCTGATTTACAGTCCTACTAGACTTGAAGTTGGCAAGCAGCTGTTAGGGAGGGGGAAAAAGTTATTATAATGTGAAAATGGTTATTATCTCAAAGCCTCCATTTTCCTGGAGGATGTTTACCTTTTCCCCATTTGTACCATTAATAAGTACCAATGGTCATCCAGAAGAATGGCTTTATTATTGTGTGTTATGATCTATTGGAGTTTATTCTGGGTGAGAAGTTGTAGGGACTCATTCAGACAATACCTACGTCTGAACAAATACACAAAAATTAAATTAAATTAAAAATTAAATTAAAAACAAATACACAACCCCCCCCAAAACACCAGACCACAAAAAAATCCAACCTAAATTTCATAATGATGTTGAGTGGTATTTCTTTCCATTCTATACCTTTTTGGTTTTATCAGAAAAAGTTTGATAACATATAAAGATTCATAACATTTTAAAGGGCTATTATGCATTTATTAGGCTTGCTACCTTCTTCTGAAGGTAAAGAGGAGGACCTAGCTGTGTGGGTGCTGTTTCTTTTTTTGTGGAGATGATTTTTTTTTTTTTTGTCAAGAGGAAACTTCTACAACCTATGCCTTTGTTAGTCTTACCATTTTTCTGGCACAACCAAGAGGTTTAATGCATTCATTCCTAGATATATTATTGTAATACAGATACAATAGACTTTCAAGAAAAAAGGGAGAAAACACCCACACTGTAATTTGAATGTTAAAAAGAGTTCTTATTCCTAACTGATATATGTAAAATATATGGGTAAGAGTTGAGTTGGTTAAAAATAAAAAAAGCCCCCACAAAACTGTACTTTATACCATTACCTAACTTTGACCTTTATTTTGTAGTGACCAGTGTAAAAGAAAATGCTGAGAAGTACATGGAGATTCTAGAAGATAAACTACATAGGTAAGGATGATCTAATGGAGAACTTTGAAATCTTAAAAATGCTTGTTAATGCAGCATTGATGTGCATAAAGTGTTAGGGAATTTGCATTAGAATAATACCAAAAATAGTTCAAAGTAGGAAATTCCACAAGTGTTAAGACCTCTGTTCATGATCATGTTCAGCAGCTTTGCTGCCAGCCTGGCAGTGGGTGCAGGTAAAAGAAAGAATCACTGTTCTCCAGTGCACAGGACTGCCCTGGAACAGTGGTGGTACAGCCAGAGAATGGGCACCATGCGTGGGGTTATTGTGTCTCATTCCAGCTGGACCTGCAGGTCCTGTAACCAGAGGTGTGACCTCTTAAGCACCCAGAAACACCAAAGTTTTAGGGATGTGACAGCAGGTTGAAAAATCACCCCTTTGTTACTATGCAAAACCCAATTCTGAGCAGGGCCAAGAAGTTCCTAAACAGAACTGTGGCCATCTTTAACAAGTAAAGGCTCTCTGTCTAACAGCTTTGAAAAAATGCCAATTTGGAGTATTGTGGAAAGCAAATAGAAACCAAGACAACAATAGGGATATTTTAAGAACTGAATCCCAGTGCAGAATTTACATATTTTTATGGCTTTGGTTGTTTTTTTTTTTTGAACAAATGCTAACATTTATATTTCCTTCTCTTGCTGTGTGAAGGGGGCTCTACATGACCCCCTCCAATTTAAGGCTTTTCCTTGAAATACAATTAGCAAATATTACAGTGCTGTTCTAATGGAATCTTCTGTTGGTAAACTTTGTCGTGAACAACTATATTTGTATTGAAAAAGGCTTTCATACGTAGTCACTGGAGTTTGAGACTTAATAAAATGCAACTCACCAAATTAGCACCACTTCCATTTCCACTGCTAAGTGGGTATAATTAATAAGTTGTTGCCCTCACTGTTTTTTTGTTAAAAGAGAGGGTTGTATATATATATTTTTTTTTTTTTGCTCTCTCATACTTTTGAATATAGAAGTATTTATTTGGCTCAACTCTTAAATTTGAAAGTAATTCAGAATGGAACAAAAAATGATGGAGGATCAAGCTGTGTGTCTGTGGGCTGCCTGAATAAGATTTATACTCCATATACTCCAATCCATAAGTTTGAGACAAGTCTTAAGGACTCTAAGTGCATGGTCTTTTGGAAAACAATATTCTTTATTTAGTTTGGACAATACTCTCAGGTGCATGGTATAACTCTTGGGGATGGTCCTGTCCAGGCCTAAGGGGAAGACTTGATGAACATCGTGGGTCCCTTCCAATTCAGTAAATTCTGTGAAATCTTTTGATGCTTCTAGGCTGTATGGATTTAATTGACATATCAGGCTCGCAGAAAGAAGTAAATTTCTATTTAAATGTTAAATACTTGGACATTCTGTATATTTTTTTTCTCCTTCTAAGGACTTATCAGATAGAATTTGCAGTTGTGTGTTTTTTTAGCTTTAGTTATGTTGTGTATATATATATATTTATATAGAGAGAGAGCTCTATATTATTGAGTTGTCTATCTTACTTTCCTGCATCAGTTTCTTAAATTGCAGCACCTTTTTATGTGTCTTGATAGATGTTAATAATGAGCTTGCACCATGCTTTTTTCTTCTCTTCCTTCTACTTGTGGGAGAAATTTGCATGCTGAACTACTGGTATTCATCCTGCTTCTGTGGCAAGGATTAAAAGCTAAACCCTCTTTTTGGCACTGCTTTATATTTTGGAGGCATTTTTTAATGCCTCCAAGCAGTGGTTTAAAACAGTACTTGATCTATTCTTAGCAAATTTAAGAGTTGTCGAGTATTGTAATGTCTTTTGTTGCTTTTGTATGGAAGGGTTGACTTCCTCTGTACCGTGTAGACCTGGGCTTGTTTTAGTCCAGGTTCTCTATTGCAGCTGTCCTACAGGCTTCAAAGTTTTGCTGTTGAGGTAAATGTTCTTTCCAGACTATTCTGAGGATGCAAGTGTATCTATACTGCTGCACTGAACATGCTCTTCAGAGCTTGCCGCCAGCTTCTCTAACAGACTGCTGGGTTGTTGCCAAGATTCTAAAATTCTCCTTCCAAATTTAAGAATAAAAAAAAAAAAAAGAAAACCAAGCAACTAATGAACCACTACCCCCCCAAAAAAAAGTAAAAACCACTTCTCCTGCCCCTAGCAGAAACCCCCTAAAACTTTGCAAATAAACCCAACAAAATACTCCCCCAAAAAACACAGCACAGTGCTGGCCAAGGTTCCAGATGGTGAAGATTCAGTTCTGAACGTGTTTTTCAATATGTGCAAATGGTATTAGTCTAAAAATAGTTCATCTTAAATAATTAAGGGCTACAAATTTATTTTAATATTGGTGGAAAGAGAAAATCTGTAATGTTTTTATCACGAAGAAGTCTCTAAGATACTATGTCTTGAAAAATAAATATATTTACGCTAATAAGGTGATTTAGATATTTGTTTTTTAAAGGTTTCTGGGTCTTTAAGTAATTAACTACACCTGCTTTATAGCTTGAATTAAAAAAAGCCCAAAAACTAAGCAAGAGCCCAAGAGGCTTCCCCACCCCTTGTCTTCCCCCCACCTCTCATTTAGAGAAGTAACTTGAGGGTCTTTATCTTTTTCTGGCCTTTATACAGATACTCAGATTACTCCTTCATATATATCATAAACTAAAGAAAGAGTCCCTAAGGAAAGTTTAAGGTATAAGTTTTAAGTTTATGTTTCAGACAGCAGTAGAATTTGCATCTGGCTTATGGATGCACCTTTGAGGATGCTCTTGAAACCAAAAGAGAATCAAGTCTGGGTAGCATGAGTTCAAATAAGCCTCTAGAGCTTTTCTCCAGATGAAACATATCATTTTGCTAGGTAATGTTTCAAATAGAAACAGCCTGGGTTCAGAACCCTTCAATTTAAAATAGAGCTTTGGAGTAAAGTAGAACTCTTAGAAATGTAATTTTGGACCACTTTTGCAACAGAAGAAAATTAATGAAGAAAACTCAGACCAAAACAGCTTTTATGAAGATTTAAGTTTAAAAAAATCAATTTTATCAATTAATCCCCCCCCTTCTTTTCTCTTTTGTTTATTTTGTAAATTATTTTTTTTTTTTTTGGTGAGTTGGTGAAGGGAGAGGGAACCTAGCTTATTCACTGGAGTATGTTTTGGGAAGGTGGGGTTTTTGGTTGGGGGTTTGTTTTTTCGTGTGTTTGTTTGTTTGTTTTCTGTTAGTTGGTTTTTAAAACAAATGCAATACTTTTGACTGCAGCCTACAAAGTGCATGTTGTCAAGTAGCTTAATAGCATATGTTTGGTTAGGAGGACTACTCTTCTGATAGCCTTGCACCTAAAGGAAAAAAAAAAAAGAGGGAAAATATGCGTTGACAAAAAACCCATGAAATATATTCAGTATCTAATAGTTTTGCCCCAAAGAAGGCAAAACCCCCACTAAGTACACAGATTACTTGACATTGTTTTTTCCTTTTAAAATATAGGTTATATTCTGAGCAGTGGATTGACAGTTGTTGAGGACAGTATCCTTGATGAAAAGAATAAACAAATAGTATGTTTTGTAATTAATGCTGCTGGCTGTCTCTTTCCCAGTCACCAATATATATCAAGCCACTCCTCATATTTATACATTAAATCACTAGCTACTCTTTTCAGAATGTAAATACCATGGCCATCACTTCCAAGTTAGACCTTGCAAATCACTTACCTTTTGTTAGTAAACTGGAGATGTGCTAAAGTAGTCATAGTTAGGGTAATGAAAGCGTGTTCAGCAGAGACATCTGTCTGTATGAATATCTGAAGGGCAAGAAGTTTTGCTTCGATAGCTTCAGCCCATCACTTGAGCCATTTAAGAGGGATCGTATAGGAGAAGTTTACTGTAGTAGTCTGATCTAGCTCATAAAAATTCAGTGGAGCATCTTCTTGTGGGACCCTTGTTCTGTCACAGAAAGCGTTATTTTTTTCACCTTGCTTCTTTCCACACCAAGTGAAGGTTCTGCTGGTGCTTTATATCATTGCCATGAGTAAAGTGAGCTTCAACTGTCCAACTCTTTCAAGAACCATGAAATTCTACCATAAGTGAGCTTAAGTCATGTAAATGATTGCAAGTCATGAATTGTGCCTAGGAAAGAGTGCTATAAAGCTGTAAAAGGAGATTTAGGTTCGGATTCTGTGATTAAATGCTGTCTCCTAAATCAAAACGTAGATAAAAGTGGTCAGATATTGAAAAACGTGTGGGGTACCAATAAACACCTTTTAAATCAATGCAGATGTAGAGAAAGTACTAAGTTTTACTTGTTTAGATGTTGGAATCCAAGTCCAGACTTGGGGTTTGAAAGTATTCACTTATTTTTGAAGATACAAATAAAATAACCTGTCTTTTAAATGAAGAAAAAACCCTTGATATGTATTTCTGCATGAAAAGTCATCATCTTCTGAGTTATTTGCTAGCTCTTATGTATCTCGATGTAGGTCATGTGACATGAGCCATTGTGCATCTGTCACATATTATATGCGGTCCTGTATCTCATTAAATCTCTGTCCTAGCTTCAGTTTGATTCCCTTCCATTGCAGAGGGGGTTGTGAGAATGTGTGTGCATAGAAAAAGATTGATCTGTGTAAGAACTGTATGCGATAGCTGGAGAAATGGAAACAAATGTGTAGAACAAGATAAAAATTTTTAAAAATCTTTTAGACCCTTGCAGAAGCTGGTAAATGTTCTACAGTAAATGCGGTTATCTTATAAAGTGCTGTGCAAAACCAGGAATTCTGTTACATTACTGAAACATGCACTAAAATGACTGGTTGTTTCAGCTCAGTCTTTGGAGAGACTGCTGTGCTCTTTTTGTAATAGTACAGAGAAAAAAGTCTTCCTTTAGATTTCTCTATACCGAAGACAACTAAGTTTAAATTAATGGTGCAAATGAGCTTCATGATAATAATAAATAATGGCCAGTCTTCGCGAGCGAAGATCCAGAGAAGGTCTTTACACCTTCCAGCCTGCG